GGTTCACAAAATCCACGGTTCGGTTCGATTCACGGTTTCGTGGTCACGGTTTTCGGTTCGGTTCGGTATATGTTGATTGTTAGGAAAATCTATTATGTCTCGTATAGTCAGGTTAAAACTGAAAGAAAAAAGCAGTCTGACATTTGATCCATTATTGTGACAGTCTGAGGTTAAAAGTAGGTGAGATTCTGGCATTGCCAGAGAGGAAACAGTGCTAATTCCAACATGTGCTTCCCTCTAAATGCAAACTGGTCCATACAGCAGACCTAGAAACTGCTGCTGGGTCTGATTTTTATTATCGGCTACGCTGCTTCTTCTTCTTCTTCTTGTTTCCTACTGGTGGTTGGCTTTGGGTGCAGTAGCGCCCCCTTCTGCTCTGGAGTGTAAACGCTTCCCTCTGAGAAAAAGGAGCAGCAGGAACCGAACGCAACACACGCGAACCGAACCGAGACAGAACCCAACGGTTCAGACGGTTTTCAGAAACCGTCCCATCCCTACCTCCTTTACATTTTCCACTCATATATGTAGTTTTCCCAGAAAATTTTGTTTGTTTGTTTACAAACAAGGAATGCAATTAACTCATTGGCTGCCAAAGACGTCTATAGAGGTCTTTTATGTTTTTAACGAGAGTGTCTGGGGGACGATCTGCTAAAGCTTGTCCGTAAATATGGGCTTCTAGACAGAGTATGTAGTAACAAATTGACCCTCTAGGGGGCAGTGCCACTTTTGATGGGAGATGAGCATAGACTGTAGGCAAATAAGAAAAAGCTAACGGTTCTATGAGAGAACATGTCGCCGGTGAGACGCAAATCCAGGAAGAACGGAATAAGGTAGAAACAAAAAAATTTTTCCTGATGAAAGAAGAGAGTCTACTCTTTCTTTTGGTGTGTTCGGTGTTTACATAGTCATAGCACAAACTATTCTGTGGCTCTGGAAAAATCAGTCAAAATGCTCAAAAAACTCTGGCAGTATGGGACTCAGGGTTAGGGTTAGGATCAGGGTTAGGGTTAGGGTCATTAATGTGGGCCACCATAACATCAGTAACAGGTCAGTTTGAAATGAAAGACACAATTCAGTTAAATTTTGGGGTCTTTGTTTTCATCCTTGTGGTAACAAAAATGGTATCGAGTATCGAATATTTTCCTGAGTATTGGTATCGAGTTGAAAATTTTAGTATCGTGACAACACTACGTTGCAATAGTCAAGGCGGGAAATAAACCATAAACGGCACCAGGAGCTGGGTAGCATGTTGTGTTAGGAATGGCCGGATCTTTCCTATGTTAATTCATTTAAAAAAGTGTTTAAATGCCCCACTGTGTTAGAATCCAGATGTTAACTGTGTGGTGGAAGCAGGGGGCGGGTCGGCTCTGAAAGAGGCCCCAGCTGTGCATAATATTCATGTGTGCATTAGCATAATCAGCATTCAGGATGCAGAATTTAATGATAGATGGTTTTAAATCAGATTTTTCAGCCGTAACATAAACTACAGAAGCCTAGCTTGATTTTCCAGCTTTAACCCTCACGTCGTCTCACTGGATCACATCTGTTTACAAACTACACTTTTCATCTTGTTTTGTTAGATTTTTTTGTTGATTTGTTGTTTAAGAGGCTGCCAGCTCTCACTAAAGCCTCCAGGTCTTTATTCTGAACGAATGTAGATTTATTCTGTTAATCCTAATCTCAGTCAAATCAGAAACTAACTTATTTTTGTTATATTTGGAGAAAAAAGAACAAGCATTACAACTAATATCATTTAACCGCCTGGACATGAGCAAATCAAGATGACGGGACAGAAAATGGAGTCTTTAATGTATGAAAATCCAGATGTTTGAGAATGAGGCAACAAGTTTTTTTGGGAGGTTTACATATGAATTAGACAAGGTAAGTTTATTTTAAAGCACATTTTGTGTACAAGACAATTCAAAGTGCTTCAAAGAGAATTTAAAAGCAGAAAAACAAGAAAAGAAAAATAATCAAAATTAGACAGATGAAAAGTGAAGGGTGCAGACAAAATACATTCAATTTCCATATGCACAATTAAACAGATTACAGCTAATCTTGTACAGGTGATGCTCCTAAAATCTGTATAGGATGCACAACATGAATGAGTGAGAGCAAATATATCCGGCACCCTCTTCATTTAAAACTGGGACATGGACTCACTCCTATCAATCTGAGCCATAAAATGTGTTTCCAGGTTTTTGCAAAGCTTCCACTTAACTGAAAAAAGTGCAAAGGGAGAGGCAGACTGTCTCGGCTTTTATCGCCAAGGGCCAAATTCCCCACACGATCCAGAGCTTTGTGTCATATAGTTAGGAATAATTTAAAATAAGCAGGTGGGATAAGCTTTAGCATGTGATCCAAACCTGGACGTTACAGTCTTATGTCACTGTAACCGCTCACTTCCCTAAAAAAGAAAAGAAAAAGAGAAATCAACTTGTGGTTTTACAGATGATTGCATGGAAATGTTTGATAATAGTCAGAGGTCTGTTTCTCTGTTTTAAAGGAGACATGTTATACCCTATTTCAACAAGTTAAGCTAGTTCCCTGGTGTCCTAATGTGATGTCTGTGACAAGCTTTGGTCAGAATCCCATAAGGATGAAGCCCAATAGCAGTTCAGTCCCCCTGCCTAACCCTAACCCTAACCCTAACCCTAACCCAAACCCAAAACAGCCCCGTTCAGAGCGCTCGCTTTGGAGTGCCTGTCTCTTTAAATGCAAATGAGACACAGGCAATCCACCCACTTCTTCAGGGAGGTGTGCCCACGTCGGCACGCTAACGCTACCATGCTAACGCTACCATGCTAACGCTACCACGCTAACGCT